ACACGGCCACCCAGTTCCGGCCGCGGCTGAAACTGACCAGCGGCTGACTTGGGGACGTCTGGGGCAGAGTAGCTGGAGTGCTGCCGGGTTGGTCCAGTAGCACCGAGGAGTGGCGCTGCGGGACCAACCCGGCAGCGCCCCAACTGCTCTACCCCAGGCGTCATCGGCGAGAAAAGCTAGATAATTTCATAGAGGTTAGGTCCATCATTGGCTATTAGCTAGGGTGGATAGAAACTGTCTTCCGCCAGTGGCCAATGCTAGGTGTCCCCAGAGGGAATGAACAGAACAGGTAATCTTCAAGTGATCTGACCCATCACCCATTCCCAACTTTTGACCAACAGAGGCTAGGGATGCCATTTCTACCCACCCTGGCTAATAGCCATTGATGGACCTAACCTCTATGAATTTATCTAGCTCTTTTTTGAACCTTGTTAAAGTCCTAGCCTTCACCACATCCTTTGGCAAGGAGTTCCACAGGTTGACTGTGCATTGTGTGAAGAAGTACTTTCTTTTGTTTGTTTTAAACCTGCTAATAATTTTATTTGGTGACCCCTAGTTCTTATGTTACGGGAACAAGTAAATAACTTTTCCTTATTCACGTTCTCCACACCAGTCATGATTTTATAACATATCTATCATATCCCCTCTTAGTCTCTTCTTTTCTCAGCTGAAAAGTCCCAGGCTTTGTACTCATTGTTGATTAAATTTGTATCTATACTAATACAGGAGAGGGCTGCTAAGAACCCAAAGAAAATTGAAAACAGTTTATTGTTAAATAAGTCAAGTACGGATTGCCTCATTTTCTCTCTCTGAGAAGACCCTTATTTTGTGTAAATTATGATATAGCTTGGACAATTTACACCATCTGAGATCCTGCCCTTGAGTATTTATTTGCAAGCTGGTACCAAGAATGCTTTTCTCAATCTTAGCTATTTTATAAAAAAAAAAAAGGTGTCTGAATTCTTACAACCAACCTAAGTAGTTGCTATTAAGAATTGTTTAGGAGTGCTCTGAATTTTCACATCTATCCGTTGCTAGAAGGAAAGAAATTTTCTCATTTTTAGCATCCATTATATGTTCTGGAATTACCACCAGAAGTTGACTATTATCAGACTACTACACTGTTCATGATCCACAGTGCCAAATACACCCTCCAACAACTCCCAACCAAGACTTGGGACAAGAGACTGGAAAAACAATTTGCCAGTGAGCACATTGAGTGTTTAAAAACATTTAAACCAGAAAAATAAGAGTAAAAAAACTTTGGGTACGTCATTTCACCTATATCTGTCCCTCAATTTTCTCATGAATAAAATGAGGACACTGTTTCGGACCTACCTCATAATAGGAATCATATGGCTCAAGTAATTATGTTTGCAAAGTTTTCTAAAAAGTAGAGATTAAAATGGCTGGGAAAACACAAACATTTTACAACACAAACATTTCCTGTTGTTTCTTTTCTTTTTTCTTTTTTTCCACCACAATTCAAAACATAGAAGCAGTTGTTTCTCAGAATTCTGACATTCAAACAATTTCAGTCTTCTCTTCTTCGGATCAAAGAACTGCGTGATGGCAGTGTATTAAAGCAGTGGCTTTCAAAGTGCGGGTCACAGCCTAGTACTGGGTCGTGGAATGCCAAGCATTGTGTCTTTTTGCTGTAAGGTAACTAGGTGACTAGTGGAGTTGCTAGGGAGGCTTCCTGCCTGTCCTGGCACCACGGACCACACTGCACCCAAGAAGTGGCCAGCAACTGGTCCAGCTCCTAGGTGGGGGGCCATGAAGCTCCACGCACTACCCTCCCCATGAGCACTGGCTCCACACTCCCATTGGCTGGTTCCCAGCCAATAGAAGCTGGAAAGGACAGTGCCTGTGTGTCAGGCTTGCGCTCCTCTGCCTAGGACCAAGACCGGCCACTGGCTGCTTCCAGGGCACAGCCTGGTCTGATGTGCCAGGACAGGCGGGAAACTGCCTTAGAATCCCCGCTGCTCTGCCGACTGGGAGTGGCTGCAGGTAAACCCATGCCCAATCCAGCGTACCAATCCCCTTTCCCAGCCCTAAGTCTCCCCTGCACCCCAAACCCTTCATTAACAGCCCCACCCCAGAGCCTACATGCTAGTCAAAAGATAGAATTATGTTGGGTCATGAGCATCAACAACATTCTCAGGACCCAGGTGAAGAAAAAAAAAAGTTTGAAAACCTCTGTATTAGAGAGCTGATGATCATCAACAATACCAGTCACTTATGCTGGGCTGGAAAAGCTGCTAAGAAGCTGCACCAATTTTGTAAGTATATTTTGAAATGAACAAATCAGAAAAATAAGTGACTATTGAAGGAGGATACCATTTGGGGCCTGTTATTCCTTGGCACATGAATGCAAAAATTTGCTATTTAAATGAGAGAAGTTAAGAAAAACCAACCATTAAAGATGGAAGGTGTCAAGTCACAGGGCAAGGGCCCAACGGTTGTGGATTCACTTCAAGACAGAGTCAATTAGGGATAGATAGTTGCTTTCATTGATCTCACTACGTCCCTACTATTACAGGCTTAATACTGCCAGATGGTTACCCAGCTACTGCAAAGTAATACACCAATCAGCATAGGCAAAGCAATGCATATAAGAGTAATGGGCACTGGGAAATGCTTACGCCCGTTTCGTCCTGCAGGGAGTCCTCACACCCGGCCTCAGTGGACGTGACTCCAGCTAGGGGGATTCAGGGCACCCTTCGAGGTCTAGGTTCCGTTGAGACTCACAGAGGGGTGGGATCCCCAGTGAGCTTATACTACAGGGCTATGTCTATACTGCAGGCTTCTTGCACAAGAACCATTTTGCACAAGAGTTCTTGGCATGGCTTAAAGCTGATAAAACCCAGCTGCTGTTTGGGCTTGCAGGATCCCAGGCTATGCTAAGCTGGGTACAGCAGGGATGGAAACTTCCATACCAGGCCTGCTAAGCTGCAGGACCCACATATGACTTTTATGTGACAGAGGGATATTTTATTTTATTTTATTTTATTTTATATAGTGGCAGGATCTACACGCCCTATTCATGGACCAGGATCCCCGTTGTACTAGATGCTCCACAAACACACAACAAAAAGAAGCTCCCAGCCTGAAAGAGCTTACAAGTGTCCAGAAAATAAATACAACCTTTTTACAACGTAATATACCAAACAACAAAATATTGTTAAATACTGGTAAATATGCATATCTGGAGTAATTTGCTGTATGCCCCGGCTCTTATTTATGGCCAGACTGGCACCTTGCAATCTGCCCTGAGTAAGGTACAGCACACAGCGAGGCAGCCTGGGAGCAAAGCGGGCACCAGATTGTCACTGCGTACTTCACCCAATACATGGCAATAACCATGGGGAGGCGGAGCCAGCACTGTACCCAAGCCCTGCCCACTTGTGCACAGAGTGGCAGCTTCCCACGGTCTTCCACCCACGTGTTACGACCTGTGATGAGACTAGCCTCTGGAGGGGAGAAACGGGTCGCCATAAGTCACCTTAAATCCCTGCATGGACCCATGCACCAGTTCACAAATTCTAACCTTAATATGTATCTATGGGATTAACTGCACCTACATTTCCCGTTCTCTCTCCCTTTCTCTGTGCAGTGAATTCTGTTTGTTAGCCATGCTCTGCCTATACACAGCAGGGGTGGGCAAATACAGGCCTGTGGGCCAGATCCGGTCCACCAGGGTTAGTCCCTGGCTGGCCCCCACACCGCCGTATTCACCTGCGTCTCTGCAGGTACGAGGGTTCACAGCTCCTATTGGCCACGGATCACTGTTCTCAGCCAGTGGACGCTACAATTGCCCATACCTGCAGAGTTGCAGGTAAATACAGCAGCAGCACAGAGGCCAATCCATTTTATTGCCCACACCTGATATGCAGCAACCTCTTTCTTGCCCTAAAATGCTGAGCCAGGATCCTGAGTTTCCAGTGTTACCGGTTTGCTTGATTCATGCCACCGGGCTCATTCATAACTCTCTTCCCACCTTGCTCCTTCCCAGCCCTGCTGTCCCAAGTGCTCTGCACTCACAGACATTTTTGCACATAGCAGGGTCACTGCTCTCTTACCTCTCCTGAAGTAGCTGAGAAACAGTGGCAACAGCAGAAGAAGTCCATGCTTATCTAATAAACAACAAAGGCAGCAGCTGAAGTTCACCAGCTGGCAGTAGGCCCTTTCCCAGCCTGCACGTACCACTAGCTATCCTGGAAAACAACACACAATTGGGACCCAAGTAAAGTCAGTTTTAGTGGCACTGCAGATGCAGGGAATTTTGGAGCGAGACCACTGTTCCGCCTGGAGATTCCCTGCCACAGGTTCTTTCTTTCTGCATTTTCCCCTTCAGCGAGGTTTTGGCCTCTGACAACTCAGCCTCGCTCCTTCTGCAAACAAACTGTGCATTGTTAATTGCGCTGTATTGGAAGAACTTACTTCCTCTCAGCAATTGCTCTCAGAACATACCATTCTTTCCCTTTGGGTGGGGGAATGACAGAAAATGGCATATTCCAGGAAACAAGAGGCCAGCAGTTGAGATTACATGGATACTAAAGGCCAGGGTGCTACCTTGGTGCACCTGGAGTAACACCTCATTCCAAAAGCAGTCCCATTGATGAAAATGGGACTGTTTCCAGAGTGAGGTCTTGTATAGCGTGAGTAAAGGTAGCAAACTCCAGCAGAGAGAGAGAGACAAGAAGATTGCAATAAATATGTGGTCACCTCAGATCTTCACAATTGTCTTTATGCAGCACAACGTGTCTGCTCTGAACTTCATGGTCATACCAGAGAGAAAACTCTCACCCAAAGCTCAGAAATCATAAATTTAAACGGCTAAAAAAAAAGGGGGACTCTCTAATGGCTTTGAGCAGTATAGGCTACATGACAAACACGTCTGCTTACACCCAGTAGAGGGGAGTAGTGCACATCAGTCCAGTCAAAACCTACTCCCTTTAGACAAAATGTATCCCTGAGCATCTGAGTTTCATGGATCTCGCTCCTGGGACACTAAGGGTATGTCTAGACTACATGGCTCCATAGATGGAGTCATGTAGATGAGGTTTCTAGACATAGGGAAATGAAGCGGTGATTTAAATAATCAAGGTCCCCTCCATTCATTTACATCAAAATGGCTGCCGCGCTGTGCCGATCAGCTGTTTGGTGGCACAGCGTGGTAGTCCGGATTCCATGAGGCATAACGAGGCAGTCGACAAGGGCTTCCCTTGTCGACTACGGAGCGTCCAGACTACCGCGCTGTGCCGCCAAACAGCTGATCAGCACAGCGTGGCAGCCATTTTGATGTAAATGAAGCGGTGATTATTTAAATTGCCACTTCATTTCCCTATGTCTCAGTAGAATTTTGCAGCCACAGCAGGGTTAGAACACAGACTTTGCTTCACAAACCAACACAAGAGATGGGTGCCTTTTTGTTTGCTTAAGGAGAATCTCCTATAGGGCCTATGAAACACAGTTGAGCTATTCAGTTTCTATTCAGTAAAGAAGAGTGGCATTCTCTCATAGCAACTAGCTCATTACATCCCTGTAAAATTAAAATCTAAACATTGAATAGCAACGTCAGATTTCCCAGTTATTGAGGAAAATAGAAATTAACACTCTAAATTGTTTATTATTAACCACAATGCCCTGGACAGATGTTTGTTTCTCAAATTCTCCCCTTTTTTTCTGAACCCATTATGGCATCTGTCTCCTCTCTCCTTCTTGTGCTTTCAACCATGAATCCCAAATAATAGTCATATTTGTGTTCAGACCTAATTCTTGTGGCTAGTTCACTTGCTCATATAAAATGGAGCAATTAATTTACTGCAGACTCACCACAGTAGTTTTATTCATCCCAACTTTAATGCTACTATGAAATAGGCCCCAGAGATGTAATATCATCTTAACAAAACTGTCCTGAAGACAGAAAGCTGAGAATCGGGGGAGACATTAACGTAAACAATAAACCTTGACTATGCTTCTGAGTTAATATTTTTTTTGCTATAAAACAATAGGCAATAGCTAAAGACCACACAATATGCTCCAGGTGAAGAAACCACATTGTAAATAGATATGAAGAAGGACAGCGATAAAAACTAGATGGTGCTTGGTCCTGCCGTGAGGGCAAGGGACTGGACTTGATGACCTCTCGAAGTCCCTTCCAGCGCTAGTATTCTGTGATTCTATGATTCTGTGAACTAGCCTCTGACAAATCCGAGATTATACCTACTAATGTTACAACAAAGAATTTGGAGCATCCCATTAGTTTAATCCTAGCTTGTGAATAGTTTGGGTAAATCTAACTTTATGTGAAACAAGATCTTTGCATAGAGTTCCATGTCCAACAGTCAGGGATCGCCAAGTTATTTGTAGACGCTTGGATACGTTGATGGATGTAGCACAAGCACTAGAATAGAACAGAGTTTAATACAATTAGCGGAGCAGCGAAAGGTGGAAACCCTGGCTACAAGAACCAGTTGCTAGGACACAGGTAGAAGGATGATGCTTTCTGCTTCCCTGAAGTCATGGAGACAGAGACCAAGATCTGGGAGCCTATCACCAGAGTTCTGTGGTGTATGTGATTTGCTTTTTAGTGTCTTATGATCGTCTCCAAAACCAAAAGTTAGCATCTTAATCACTGTGAGTTTTCTGCTCATAGTGTTACGGAGGGAAGATTCACACAGAAACCCACAGTCAGGACAATCTTATAAATCTGAAATGAGGGCCAGGTTCGCTGAAGTTTGTCAGAACAGAAGCTTTTGGCGCATCTGGACTGAGTTTTACATTGCCTTGGACTGGATTTTCATTCAAGCGAGGTTGATTTATGGTTTCAGGGAGAAACCCCTGACAAACATGGTGTTTTTATATGGTTTTGCCCAGTCTGAACACATCTGCTCTGAACTGTGGACAAGTTTGAGTCTGAATCTTGCATTACAAAAACCCTGGCTCAGTTCTAACTCTGCAGCATGCTGAAACAGAACACAAAATCTGAATCTCTCCAAACTTTGGGTACATTCAACACCTGTTCCATCTGTGCCAATGACTCTAGGCCAGGTTTGGTTTTTGACCCCCTCCTCCCCATCTAGCAAAACTGGTGGCTTTTTTAAATCTTAGTGGGGGGCTGTTCCTAAACCAAAAGAGAAAACAAACTTTAAAGAAAAGCCACATGCAACAAAACTGAGGGTAAAACAATGTTTGCACAAACCCCTGACAAATTGATACACTCTCGTGTCAATATCACTCCACCCTCAGAAGGCTGTTTAATCCATTCTTCTATAGAGGAATTTCACCAGCCAATTGCAGAATGAGAGTGCAAAACTGACATTCATCTGCAAATTTGACACTATTTCCCTGAGCTTGAGCATAGACATTAACTGGATGTCACATTATAAAGTCAGCCTTCCCTGCATTGAACACCTCATTTTTATATCAAAAGCTATGTACACATCAAGACCACTTAATTAGCCTCATTAGCACTGGTCATACCATTGTTGGGTTTTTTTTCCCTCCTTCTTTTTCTGTTATTCCTCTCTAGCTCATCTGATGAAGTGGGCTTTGCCCACAAACGCTCATGATACTATATATATTTTTGTTTGTTAGTCTCTCAGGCAATATCTAGACTGCAGAGACTGAAGAGATCTTCCGAAAAAACTTCTTCTGAAAAAGTTCATCCACACTGCCAAAACGCATTGAAAAAATGATCTGCTTTTTCGAAAGATAGCATCCACACAGAGTGGATGCTATCTCACATTTAAGCTGTGATTACTACGGATGACGTGACCACTAGGGTCTTTCCTCTTCTTCTGAAAGAACTCCCTCTTCCCCGTCCACACACGCCTTTTTTTGAAAGAGCCCTTTTGGAAAAAGGCTTCTTCCTCTTAGGGTATGTCTAGACTACAGGTTTTTGTCGACAGTAGTTTTGTTGACAGATATTGTCGACAAAGCTTCTGTCGACAAAGAGCGTCTAGACTATATCCAGTTCTGTCAACAAAGCAAGCCGCTTTGTCGACATGACAGTGTAGACACAAAGGACAGAGTAGATGCAATAACACCTTCTGTTGCCAGAACTCTGTCGACAAAAGGTGTTATTCCTCGTAGAATGAGGTTTACAGCCGTCAACAAAACTGCTGAGTTCTGTCGACGTTATGTCGACAACTCAGCGGCAGTATAGACGCAGGTATAATTTGTCAACAAAAGTCCACTTTTGTCGACAAAACCTTGTAGTCTAGACACACCCTTAGAAAGAGGATTACCAATGCCAGGAAAACCCCTCTGTTCTTTCAATTTTCTTTCAAAAGAATGCGATTATAGTGTGGACGTAATTGAAGTTTTTTCAGAAAAATGACCTTTTTCCCGAAAAAAACTCTGTAGTGCCACTGGCCTACAGTGCCACTGGATTATTCGTTGTTTTTAATACATTTATAGGTATCTGACATTTGATATAAAAAACAGTGCATGGGGGAGGGGTGGCAGTGGGGACTGGGGGAAACAAAGGATTTGCTATGCCAGATGAGACCCATGATTTATCTCATCCAATGTCTTGTCTATAATAATGGCCAGCACTAGATGCTTCAGAGAAATGGGTAAGAGCCCTCCATGTGGAATAAATTGCCCCACAGGAAAGTTTCTTCCTACTCCCCATCAGGTAACAGCTGGCTGATATCCTCAAACAGAAGCATTAGGTACTCAGCCACAAAGACAAAATTAAAACCTGAAGCCCTCTGGTGTCAGCTAGAGCTGCTGACAAGTATCAGGCCTTTCCCTCCCAGTCTATCTCTACCATTCATCATGTTTTATTATCACACATTCCAATGGCTGTAATCTAGGTAGGGCAGCAAAAAGCAACTCTATGTAAACAAACATGAGACACAACACTGGACTGTCTTCCTATGACAGAGTGTCATCAGGTTCCCAGCCTGTCATTATGAAAATACCACTTACGAGCATAGAGCCCCTGCCCAACCAGGTTTTATTTGCCAGTTCCTGTTGAAATCATGCCCTGTTGGCATTGCCTTTATTTACCACAATGGCTTCGACTCCATGCGCGGGGGCCCATTCTGTTTAGCTTGCCTCAGCCAAGGTCAGCCTTGCATAAAGTGTGAGCCCACAAATAGCAATTCCTTGCTATTTCTGAGGAGAATTACTAGTCTCTGTTTGCATCAAAAGCCGTGAGGAATCCCAGCTACACTCGGGACGTGGCAAAGCTGACTTAGTCAGAGTTTCTTGGATTAAGCAGTAAGAAAAAAAAAAAGCAAGGAAGATGAGTCATTGCTACATGAAAATCTACCCTATAGCTTCTCAGAGAAGTCAAGTATTATTACAAATTGTGTTATGCAGCATATATATATATCCAGATAGATGTACATATGTGTATAAAGATAGGACCATATTCTGGATGGTGTCATGCATATGCACATTCCATAAGGCTATTTGGTCTC